TGCGATTATCCCCAAATGCTGACCATTAAACCCTTATCTTCTTTCTTTCTTTTCCTTTCCACGCCCACTACCAGGCTTCTTCTCATGCATGGCGCGAATAGGCACCTGGTCACGGCCCAGGGCGAGAGTGCGCTGCACTTTGCGTGCACATACTCTGCCAGCCCGATGGCTCGCGCGCTGGTGGTGGCCCTTTTGCTGGACCTGAACCAGCTACTGGGACCGATTGAGGCTGCCCTCGGTCAGCCGCCGCTGTTGGCCGATGGGCCGGAGCCCTTGGCTTCCGGCTCACGGGGCGCACGCGACCCACCCGTCGACAGGCCCTTGTCGGCCCGGCTGAAGCGCTGTCTTGACATGTTCCCGCGCATGCGGCCGGCGTCACAGTCCTCGGCTCTCTTCAAGTTGGTGGCTCGGCTGGGCGGCGTCCGTCAAGAGCCGGCCCTGATGCTGGCCATTCGAAATGGCCTGCTCGAGGTGGTGGTCCTGCTGGTGCGCTTCTGCGGGCCGAGCAGTCTGCTTTTCACCGATGCCGATGGCAATGCCCCGCTGCATTGGGCGGCCGCGCTTGGCCAGCTGGACCTCGTGCAATTCCTCCTGAGTCTCGGGCCGCTGTTGGATTGTCAGAATATCCGCGGCGAGACTCCCCTGCACCTGGCCACGATGGAGCGCCACGCCCTGGTGGCCGAGCGCCTGGTTCAGGGAGGCGCGAATGTCCGGATTTTCGATTTCCAAGGACGCCTGCCGACTTCGGTGGCTCTTACAAGACCACCTGTCACCCTGGTCCCGCCGGTTGCCCGAGAGGTTTCCCCGCCGGTTCGTTTTCCACCCGCCTTCCGCCTCCCTGGGGGGGGGTTCTTTTCTTCCCTGTCCTTCTGCCTGTCTTCCCGCCCCCGCCCCCTCCCTCCCCCTCCCCCTCCGGAAATTTCCCCGCGCGCACGAAAATTAACCTGCTCCCTTTCTCGTCACAGCCCCTCAGCCAGTCGAATCCCTTCCTGCTCTCAGTGCATCGACTGATGGAAGACCTTCGGTCGTCCCTTGGCGGACGGGCCCTTTGGCTGTTGGACTCGACTGCCGGCCGCACTGTGCTTCACTATGCCTGCGAGGCTGGCGACACGCAGTCTGTGCGGGAAATCATCCTCCTCTCTTCACAACTGGGGTGCGTTTGAATGTCTCCCGATGAAGAGCCCTGCCCCCTCTCCCCTCCACGCGGCTTAACACTCCGGCTTTTCGCAACCCCTCGAAGCAGGCAATCGTCCGATCGACCCACCCTTGGGCCGATCACCAGCCATGAGCAATTCCTCGCCCGCCGTGATGCGGCCGTGCGTTTCCCATCCCTTTGTCTTTTCGCTGGCTGTGTGACGCTTTTTCGGTCGTACTCACAAACATTGGCCCCCGTACATCAGGGTAACATGGCCCTTCACCTGGCTGCCCGGGCCGGCTTCGAGGACATTGTCCGCCTGCTTGTGCAGGCATATCCGGCTCCCATTGCACACCTAGATGGCGCCGCACATGGGCCGCACTTTGGCGAGACGCCCCTGCTGGCAGCTTGCCGTGGGCGCCACCTTGCGTGTGCAGCCATTTTGCTCGACATGGGTGCCAATGCCGACATCGCCGACAACTCCGGTGCGTGTGCCCTCTCAGGGCACCCTCCTGCCCCGATGCCTGGCTCTCCCTCTCCCACTGGGTCTGGCAGCTCGAAACCGACCCGGCCGTCTTCCCTTCTCCCCCTCTTACCCTTCGTCTCCCTCTCCTCCTCCCGTCGCCCCTTCAGGCGAGACTCCCCTCTTTGTGGCCTGTCTCACGGGATCCCTGCCCCTGGTGGCGTTGCTGCTGCTGTCGACATCGGCCCTGCTGCCGGAGGATCTCCGCTGTGCAGCGGTGGCCCGGATGCGGTCGCCTGATCTTAACCGCCGATCGCACGCCGGGTCCGGGCGCACTCCCCTGTTGGCGGCCGTTCAAATGGGCCATACAGGCATTGCCCTGCTGCTTCTGCGCCCGGGGCTCCTTCTACGGGCCCCCCTGCCTCCGGGTCTGGTGGCCTACTTGCGGGCGGTGGCTCAGCTTGACAGCGTGCGCTTTGCCGGGGACCTGGACACCCTGGCGACACCAAGTCGAGGCGAGCCCTTGCAGGAGTGGCTGCGCAACCCGCTGTATTTGGCGGAGCTGACTGCCCTGCTTCGGTCGGTGGCCGGCTGGACCGGGGCCCTGGCTCGGCATCCCATCTCTGCGCCGGGTCCCGGGCTGCATCGGGATCTGGCCGGGGCCCTGGCCAGTGCCGGGCTCCGATCCGATCTGTCGCATCTTGGCCTGGCGGCCGATCCGTTGGAGCGTGATCGTTTTGGAAATACGTCGCTTCACTGGGCCGCGGCCACGGGCAATCTACCGCTGACATTGGCCCTGGCGGCTTGCTTGCTGGTGCGCACGGAGCTCGGCCGGACGTTGCTGCTGGCCGCGGCCAATGGGAGTGGCGCCCCCAATACTGCGACCGCCCCCAGCCTGGAGAGCCCGAACTCCGGGTCGAACGAATACATCCCCGGGGCCGGGGCGCGCTACTGGTCTGAACAGCTGGCCGGCTTCAATGCTCGCGACTTGAGCCCCGTGGACCTGGCCCGGCGCGAGGGGCATAGTACCATCGCGACATTGCTGTCGACGCCCCTTGGGCCGCCTGAGCAGGATGCCTTGCGGTCATTGCCGGCCCCGGCTTCGTGAGCCGCATGAGCCGAGAGAGCCGCCATGGAGGGGAGTAGTCTCCCTTTCCTTCCTCCCCCCCCCCCCTCTTTTGATGAAGAGGCGGCAATCCTCCGCAGGAGAGTCTCTCTCTCTCTCTCTCCCTCCTGGGCGCATCTCTCGCTCTCCGGCGCGCATCCCACCTTCCTCTTTCCTCCTTTCTCCCCTTCCCCTTTTCTCCTCGGTCCTTGTCTGTGAGCGCCGGCACAAAAGCACCGGCGCAAATCTCCTCTGAAATCCCGCGTGGGGTGACCGTGAGTGTGTTTGAGCCCACATGCGCGCGCGCGCACACACGCCACTCCCGAGAGCATCGGACGCCCTTTCCTCCACGTCTGTCCCCTCTCCTCTTCTTTGTATCATAGAACTACACCTTTCTCCCTCTCAAGGGCTCGCCCGGAATGCCTTCCCTTGGCCCCGGTTGCGCACTGGCCACGGTCGGGGACGGCCAATGCATCCGTCCTGTCGTGCAAAAATGTGCACGCGAGGCGACCGCCGGGTGGTGGGGGCTGTTCGGTCGGGCTCATCTTGGAGACTCCGGAAACCATGATATAGCACTCCAGGGGATGGATATACATCATGGGCTCGTTTAGCTCAGTGGTAGAGCGCCAGTCTAGTAAACTGGAGGTCGGGTGTTCGATCCACCCAATGAGCATTCTTTTTTGAACCCGGTCCCTCGTGCCGCAGCTTGACCATGCGGGCAGGGCCCCACCCGCCTTTTGTGCTCGGACCCCCCCCCCCCCCGGGGTGGGGGAGAACGGGTGCCGGGACTCATGAGAGTCGCACGGGGGGGGGGGGGGGGGGGATCTGTTCGTGGTGAAATGGCATGTGTGTCCTCGCGAGAAACCCCGCGCGGTCGGTGGCGGTGCGCAGCCAAAGAATGTCCCACAGCCTGCCCCGCGTCCCCTTCAAGGTGCGAAGAGCCGGGGGGAGGGGGGCCCTCGCGCCCAAAAAACCATATGTCCGGTGCCCGCCGCAGGGCCCAAATACGGGACAAAAGGCCCGACCCTCGTGTGTAGGTGTGCCCTGTCCCACCTACGCCCCTGACCATCGGACCTCCCCTCCTCCTTTTCCCTCCTTCGGTTCCTTCCCCCCCCCCCTCCTCCCCTCCTCCGTATTCACCTCCGTCACAATGGGTCGTGGTCTGCGCACCAACACCAAGTTCATCAACCCCAAGAAGGTTGTCCGCGATCGCATCCACGCGAAGCGGGACTCGAGCGGCATTTCCCGCAGCCGGGTACGTTGCCTTGCCACCTGCAAGGCCCCCCCTCTGGAAGGCCTTCCTCTCGCCCGCCGAAGCTCTTCCTTGTGTAGCTCTTGTTGACCTCCTTTGCCTGGTGAACTGTGCACCCCCGCAGGCCATCTCCAACCCGAACGCCAACACCACTCTCAGTGGTAAGGCCGCCCGCCGCCTGCGTATTGCCGCCAAGGTTCGCCTTCCGCTCATTTGGATCCGCCCCTTTCCGGCCGCACCGCTCCCTTGCCACTCCTCCTGGCCTTTCCGCTTTCTAATCATCATCACCCCCCCCCCCCTCCCCCTCCCTTCTCAGAACGCCGAGGCTGACAAGGTCCGCAAGGCGATGCTCGCGGGCGCCGCCGCCGCGCTGAAGGCCTCCGCCATGGATGTCGATGGCGCTGCCTCGAAGAAGAAGGCCCAGTGTGCGTTTTGACGTGTGCACATATTTCGCGGCGCTCGCCCTCTGCCGCGTGTGGCTGATCCACTCACCTTCCGTTGTGGTCTCCTCTCCCCTCCGGGGGCCTCTTATTTGGAAAAAAAAAAACCCCGCATGCATACACGCGCACCCGCCCCTGGTTCAGCCACTACCGCCACCGATGCTGCCCCCTCGGGTGACAAGGACATGGCCGCCTCTGAGTGAGCACCCACCCCCCTAGAGAGAGCCTTCCACTCTGTCTCTGTCTCTGTCTCCCCTCCAGTTTAGATCCCCGAACGAAATGTACAATATTCCCCGAGAATCAGATGAGTGTGTGTGTGTGTGTGTGTGCCAAAAGCGATATGCTTGAGGGTGAGGGGAACATGTTTGCTGGAATGTGTATTGTGAGGTGTCTGTGGGTCGCGGGAGCCAAGGCAGAGGGACGAGGGGGGGTGATGATGTTGATGGGTCATATCGCCACTACTACCACCCCACACTCAAGGCTCACTCAGTGGATGTCTGTGTGCGGGAGGCCAACACAGGCCGGGCGAAAGGTTGTACCGACGCCCAGTTGAAGGACGCTCCCTCCAAAACTCCCCCTCTGGCAGGGTCCCTCACCAGTTGTGATGTACTGGCGCCGGGCCATGGCAGAGGGCGGGGGAGTTATGACACAGGTAGACAGCCTGGCCGCCTCTTCAAGGCAGGAGGGCGTTTAGTCGCCAGAGCTGGGGAGAGAAGGGGACAAAAAAGCAGAGTTAGTAACACGTTGCCCAGGGGCGGGGGAGGGGGGGGGGGCGAAAAAGTGAAACACCAAGAATGGCGGCGCACTTGGCCTTGTAGACAGTGTAGACGGGAATACCCCAGCCGAGGGCCATAAAGGCAAGGAACTTCATGCGCCAGGCGGACTTGTTGGCGTAGCAGAAGGGCACGGCCTGAGGGAGGGGAGAGAGAGAGGGGGGGGGGAAGATGGGGTATGAGTGCTTGCCAAGAGAAAGAAGGGAGGAGAGACCATGCACGGGGAGAGTGCGCGCGGGGCGGCTCAGGATGTGGCCGAAGGGCGGCACACTGCACTCCTCCCAGTCTCCGGTGGCGTTGGCAACAAGACACAGCGGCTTTGGGAGGGCGAGGGAATCATAGGCCCGGCTTGCCGGCGTCATGGCCACTGCCACCATCGAGAAGGAAAGGGCCAATGGAGGAAGCTGCACCTGCACCGGATGCAACAAGGCAGACGGGGATCATCGTGCGCGTGCATATAGGTGTGTGCGTGTGCGTGTGCGTGTGTATGTGGCGTGTGCGTGTGTATGTGGCGGGTGCGTGGCGGGTGATGGTGGTGGTGGTGGCAACGAACAGACTGGGGGGTGGTCGGGCCGTGGGCCATGAAGCGGCGAGCAACCATCGGGCCGGCGGTAACCGGGCGACGGGCAACGACCTGGCGAGTAGCAGCGAAAAGGGACATGGTGGAAAGAAAGAAGAAAGGCGACAAGGGGAGGGGAGGAAACTTGTAACTCTTCTGGTCGAGCGCTGGTCCACCCAGCGGGCGACCAGGCCCGCGGCTCTTCAGCCGGCGGACGAGGGGCAAGCACAACGACGATGGCCCGTGTTTGGGCAAGGACGAGGGCCCTCTCCTTGCCGCGGCACGCTGTGCCCCATTCCCGCCCCCCCCCCCCCCCCCCCCCCCCCCCCCCCCCCCCCCCCCCCCCCCCCCCCCCCGCTCTCGCGGCCCCGGAGCGCGCACATGCGAGCGGCGGCCCGAACATGCAAAGTGCACGAGTGGGCCGGCCCGGGGTTTCTCCCTCCGTTGGGTCTGACACCCGCCCCCGCCCGGGGTCGGGGGGCGTGTGACTGGTTTGGGATCGGCCGAACCCGTTGGAACAGAGGGGCAAACACATTTTCGCCCGTGTCCTGAGGATGGGCGCCGCGACCTGCACGGAACTCACCCACCACCCCCCGAAGAAGGCGGCGGCGATGTTCCCCCGGCCCCCGCCCCGTTAGTGATGTGCTTCGAAAATTTTACCAGAGACCAAGTACGCACGCGCGAGGGGGAGAAGGGCAACACGAGACGGCAGACCCCCCCCCTCCCCGCCCCGCCCCGCTCGATGTCCTTCGCAGGGAAGGGGGAACAGGGAGCAGCGATGAGCAAGATCCAAATGGCATTTGGACGCCGTGTGCGAGATAGTCATGTGATTGCTCGATTCTTCATGTCCAGACGGTCCCTGCTGGTTTATGATGGCCTAGCACCAGCCTGGCGGGGCAATCGAGCCGACAACAGCCAATGAACAATGCGGACCCCCTCCCTGCCGGCTCGGCTGCGAGGCGCCTGTGTCCCCGGGGCTGAGGTATTTTTCTTGATGTCCAGGGCCCCCGCCCAGCTCCGCATCCGCCTGCTTGATGACCAGGGGATTGCTCGACTTGCAGCGCTCCCCCCTCCCCTCCCCCCGCCCCTCCAGGCCAGGCGGCAATGGCCTGGAGGAATCATAACAAATCGGCATACAGCCAGCAGGTCAGTCCCCTCCGGCGTCCATCCGTGAAGTACATTCGTCAAGGAAACGCCTTTGATGTTTGTGTTTCTCCCCTCGTCACATTCCCCCCCCCCCCTACTGGCCCCCTTTCTCTCAAGGGCCATCGGCCTCGGGATCAGATCGTCATATTTTGGTCCCCTTGCCTCACTTCCTCCCCCCCCCCTGCTTTGCTTCTCGCCCGGCCTGCTCTTTGCCCTCCTTCCCCCTCACCTTTCGCTTGCCTTTCCTCTTCACATCATCCCCCCTCCCTTGCGGCTTGCGTGCGGGCAACGGCGCACCCAGCTACCCCCACCATGGCCGTCCTCGATCCCCTGATCGCCAGTGACGAGCCCTCTGTCAATGGTATGTACTATTGCGCTCCTTGGCCCGGCTTTTCTCCCCTTGCCTTTAGATCTCCCTATCACCACCAGATGGCTGACACAGGCATCGCCACTTGCCTCGGCTCCACACTCTCCAACCTTGCCATCAACTAGGTGAGCGGATCATTGCCCACGAGCCGCTGGTCGTCCGGAGCATCCACAGTCGCGTGGCCCTGCCGCTTGGAGCGCCCCCGAAACCAACGGCCCCGGCCCCGGCGCCCCACTTCCACGCGGCCCGGCGTCCGGGCGATGACTACCATGATGTTGGCCAGCTGGTTTTGACCAACTTTCGCCTGTGGTTCTTCCCCCGATCGACCGGTCCCTCGGAGTGTCTGAATGAGCCCATCGAGATTGTGCGTTGCCCTCTTCTCCCCCCCCCCCCCCCCCCCCCCCCCCCCCGATCTACATCCCTCCCAAGGCGCGCTCAA